GCTATTCTACACTACGTTATATAAAAAATAACTTATTTGAAGCAAGGGCTAAAACAGATATTAGTAATATGAAAGCCACGGCACTGGTAGTCCTTAAAGAAGTATAAATAAGAAAGCAAAAAATAATAACTGACGAACTATTGTTATTCGTTCAACTAGAAGCCTTGATAATGTGTGTGAACAATTTGGAATAGATATTTTTAATGTGTAACGGGAGCGAGGAGGTGTTTTATTCCTTAAATTCTTCAGGGGTGATGGTGAGGGGTCCGAGTAGTTATTGTTATGAGTTCTGTCTGTTTGGTGAGTATATTATTACGTTCTGTGTAATGTGTAAGTGATCTGTGCCTGTAACTTACATAATACCTCTTGATAATATTCTGTATTGTCTTGTGCACTGTAAATTAACTCTGATTTATATAAGTGAGGATTTATAATTGGCTATCTGTTTCTTGACTGCTTTTATTCTGATCATCATAGCTGTAAATCCTCCATAGTTTTTAATAAATAAACAATTCCTTGTTTTAATATTAACCTAATCATTGAATAAGGAAAGTGCTGGCAAATAATTAAAAAGAGTAACAATTGGCCGCCCTTTGTATATTATGTTTCTGATATGTGTGATGATGTGATGATTTGTGATTAAAATATGCAAATCGTTCATCACATCACATCATCACACATCAACAGCCTTTAATAGTCCACTGTTGGACATAGGCCTCTCCTTAGAAAGGAGGTCTTGGCCTACTATACTACGCTGGCCAGACGGGTTAATATAGGGTTTGTGTCAAGTTTTCCATTTTTTTGCAGTGCTGGTGTCCTGCGTTGTTTTGCGGCCTTAGTTGGCTCTTACGACACCCACGGGATGAATTGGGGTAGTAACATTCCGTATTCTTAATCCGTCACTATTATTTATTTATATTACATTTTTTTTATTTGTGCTTTTCAAGACACTTCTTGCCTCGCACTACCAATCTGTAGGACAAGTTATCGGCTACAGTATTTCCGGAGCGATACGACCTTCAAACCTTCAAGAAAAGAGCGTACTCTTTCCTTAAAGGCTGGCAACGCGCTTGTGACTCCTGAGTTGCAGACGTTCATGGGCGGCGGTAGTCGTATTCCATAAAATCCCCTATGCCATAAAAAAAGAGATATGATGAATCCGTGCCAAAAGATTCTGTAAGTAAGACTACATGCATCATCTTGTGGTACGGATTTATCATTAAGATACCAAGTATTTATCATGCAAAATATGACATTTTACAATTCAATGTTGCCCCATACCAGCCTTGACTTTTCCGCAGAAATCCATTGACGAAATATCTCAACTATAAACATATTGAATAACATGTTAGTTATGGACATACAAAACCAGTTAATACCAAATTTTTCCATTAATATACTGTAGTAGAAGAAAAAACTGATCATCAGACTATCTAATATTGTTCATGGTCACTAAAGTCATTTCGACTGCACAGATGGCGTAGTGGTTTAAGCGGTCACCTCACAGCTTCTTACTGCGCTGAGTGTTGTTGGTTCGATCCCCATATGGGACAACACTTTTTTTTTTTTTTTTTTTTTAATCTTTATTTTTTTTAATAAGGGGTTTTTATCCAAAAGGATACGCCAACCCCATCGTACCTTATCATATACAACACAACATATCTTAATATTTACTAAATGAAATAAAATAAAAAAAAGGGAATTATTGATGATTGTTGTGGCAGACTTCCACCAAAGCACACATCCGCATAGCAATTTCCGTCTTTGGATTCGCCAAAATACTTTGAACAAGCCCAACGTCCATAACATTTAATTTAAATTGTCTAATCAATAATTCCCTTTCATCCCCGTTCCTGACACAATCCATCAGCAAATGCTGCACATCTTCAATTTTGCCACACATGTCACAGTTAGGTGATGGTACCTTACGCATAAGAAAAGCAAACTTTGCCGACGGATAGTGTCCCGAACGAAGTCTTAACGCTAACTTAACATAATTTCTACTAATATTAACATCATCGAACCACGGCGCACGAGTGGGCTCATCTTGAATTACTTTATACCAGATACCTTTTTCTTTAGAAATATCATTAAAGTGAGCTTTCCATTTATCAAAACAAAGTAATTTAAATTTGCTTGTGTATTCCCAATAATCTGGCATATATGATATTTCATCACCCTCCTCTACTGCAAATTTTGACAAACGATCAGCCTCCTCGTTGCCCCTTAGACCTATATGCGCAGGGACCCACTGCAGTATCACCCTAATTTCCCCTTTATTGAGGATATTAAGGAGTTTTAGAATTTCGTAGGCTATCGATGCACCTCTGCAACCAGAGGCGCATCGAGCCACATGCTGTAAAGCACTCTTGCTGTCAGTAAATACGACAACTCTATCCCAGTTTTCTTTAGATGCCTGGAGTACAGCTTGATATATTGCAATAAGTTCGATTGACATGATACAGATATTAGCACTAATTCTAAAGCAGCCTTTGTTGTCTATAAGGGACAACACTTCGTGCGATAAACAACTTGATGTTCTGAGTCTGGGTGTTCTCTGACACATGATGCAATATAGCAAATGCCTACGGCTTTTCGTATTATTTCGTAAAACTTTGAAAATTATGAACTTCCAAACAACCGTTTGGCCGTTATTTTATACGTTATTGACTGTGCAGTGGTAGCGTATGCGACTGCTGTGCTGTGGTCATGGGTTCAATTCCCGGGTCGGGCCAAATGTTTGTACGATCTGCAAATATTTGTTTTGGAGTTTGAGTGTTTTCTATGTATTATATGTATGTATTTACATAAAAAGGTTCAAGTATTCTATCAGTCGATCTAGCTTTCATAGTACAAGCTCTGCTTAGTTTGAAACTAGATGACGTTGTGATTCAGATGTACGAATAAAATATTAAATATTATTTTACCCCCTTAGGGATGAAATTTCCAAAAAACCCTTCTAAGTGCTTACAAAACTACGAAATTTCAAGCTCGTAGGTTTAGCGGTTTAGGCTCTGAGTTAGGTTAGGTTAAATAATTTAACAAGTTTGGATTTTAAATGTTTAATTTGTGCATTTATTTCAAAATATACTTCCCAAATAAGTCAGACCGTATGTTTTTTAGTTTGAACTGTGAATTTTAATACGATGTCAAGGCCGACTTCGAAGAAGGCAAAATATTTGATTAATTTAAGTTTTATGCGCCGAAATCATGACAGTTTAGACCTTGGAAAAGATCTAGAATTAAATAAGTAATGAAAATTTATCAAGTTTTTGATATACAACAGAGCGTGCAATAATTATGACAGTAACTGTTGGTAATTAGTGAACCTTTTTTATATTTTGTTTATAATTATTGAAAAACGAAACAAAAACTTAAAATTAAAGTTTACAAAAAAGCGATTTTGGTTTTATATTATAACATATCTAACACACGGCCGTCTGATCCCGAACTAGGCAGAGCCTGTACTATGGTGACCAGACTGCTGATAAACATACTTATATATTTTTTAAATAGATACATATACATACAAATAAATAAAATTGGAGTGTCTGTTTGTAATATTAAAATAACCACTTTTTACTAAATGCATATGTATGTTTACACGGTACATATGCAAAAATAACATTTTTTACAATTTTTGTCAGTCTGTCTGTCTGTTTGTTCCGGGTAATCTCTGGAACGGCTGGACCGATTTCTACGGGACTTTCACTGGCAGATAGGTGATGACATAAGGAGTAACTTAGGCTACTTTTTTTAGACTAGCTTCGCCCCGCGGCGTTGCCCGCGGTTATAACAACCGCGTAACACCGCGGGTCTCAGCTAGTTATAGATAAATTACACCTAGACACAGAACAAATGACCGTGCTCACGACACAATATTTGTCCTGGGTGGGAATCGAACCCACGACGTCCGGTTGCAAATTATGTACGATCATTTGTTCTGTGTCTATCTATATATTTAGAAATATATAAGTAAGTATGTTCATTGAGAAATTTATGCGCAAGGTTGACGGCATTCGCTTGACTTATGTTGTATAGATGGAAATAAAAAAAAAAACTGGAAATCCAAGGCGTTTTAACATCCATGTGTCTAAAACTAAGCGGACATAGTGTGTGTGTGTGTGTGTGTGTGTGTGTGTGTGTGTGTGTATGATATAAAACATCTTTACGAATATTAACTGCCTCGATGGTGCAGTAGTGTCAGACTAAATGTTTCTATGATCTGCAAAAATTTGTTTCGAAGTTTGGGTGTTTTCTATGTATTTACAAAAAAAGTATATCAGTATTCTATTAGTCAATCTAGCTTTCATAGTACAAGCTCTGCTTAGTTTGAAACTAGATGGCGTTGTGTATCTGATGTTCGAAAATATTATTATTTTTTCGATTTTGACTTATTTTGTCCTGACTAACATTGTGATAGCAGTTTTTTTATTTGTTACGAATTTATGCCTTAGTAGATGTACCCTGCCCTGTTCGCTGTGGCTTATTGTGGTTGCATTAAATTAAAACAATCTCTCTGAAGCGTGTTGTGTGTGAATGTGTCAAAACTTGAGTTTAATCGGAGCAGAAGTTTTTGATTTTCTAAAGCGTACACAAACCAATTTAACATTATCAGTGCGGTCGAGCCGGCTCTTTTGTGGCATGTTGCCGCGTAGTTTGAAAAATTATTCATCACGCAGCGCAGCCGGACTTCAACCAAATTGAGCATGAGATTATTTACGCCCCAGTGTATTTCTTTTTTTTATTTATCTTTTTTAAAGACAACTGCCGCATTAGGAATATATCCTGTGTCGCGGGGGACTTTACAAACATACATGAAACGGACACAAAGAACACCCAGACTTAGAACAACAATTTGTGGATCGCACAAAGTGTCGTCCTATGTGGGGATCGGACCCACAACACTCAGCGTAGTAGTAAGCGGCGTGGCGAACGCTTAAACCACTACGCCATCCATGCAGTCAAAGTTTATTAGAAGAGTTAAGAGATATACTCACAAAATATGCTTAATCCAACCCATCTATGCCTGGAACGCTTCATTTTGTCTACACCAACTGTGGACAAAAACAATTATGATTAATATGTAAAGAGACACATTTTTTTTAGCAAATACACACAGAGGAATGTGAAATTTGTAATACTTAAAGTTAAAAGTTATGAAATAAAATGTATTAAATAAACATTAGATATAAAGTAAAACTGCAAGGGTCCAGTTAACATTTTGACCTGCCATGGTATAATAACGCTATACAATGGTTGTTGTTCGTAAACTCTCTAAACTAAACTAAAAATCACAAAAAAAAAATTTTGTCCTGTCAAATATTGCGTTTTCAGAAAAGGAAACGTTGTTTAACAGAACTAAACAAATGTTTAGTGATTTTTAGTTTAGTTTAGAGAGTTTTCGAACAACAGAATTAACACCAGTGACAATTTATGTTACACTGGTAGTTATCCATACCAATATAATAAATGCGGAAGTGTGTCAGACTGTTCCCTCTTAACGCTTAAACCGCTGCACCGATTTAGATGAAATTTTGGTATAGAGATAGTTTCAGTCCCGGGAAAAGACATAGGATAGTTTTTATCCCAGAAATCACTCTTTAAGGTGGTGAAAAGGGGGGTGGAAGTTTGTATGGGAAATCAATAACCTCTGAACCGATTTTAATTAAATTTAGCATGAAGAGACTTTGCTTCTTGAGGAAGGACGCTGCTTTCTACCACGATAGCCAATATACACGCAGACGGACGTGTGGTGACGGATTAAGAATACGGTATGTCACCACCTCCTAATTCATCCCGTGGGTATCGTAAGACTAAGGGAGCAAACTCTGCAGGACAACAGAATTGCAAAAAGAGAAGGACAACTTGATACCAACCCGTCTGGCCAGCGTGGTATAGTAGGCCAAAAACCCCCTTCGAGGGATGTCCATATGTCCAGCAGTGGACTACTAAAGGCACTTGATCATGATGATGATGAAGTTTTGAGGTAACAAACTTAAAAAAGCATCTGCATCGAAAACCACCTTTTTTTATGAAGTCGGTTAGTAAAAAAAAAAAAATTATAACCAGCCATGTCATTGTATGTTATTACATAATGTGTCATTTCCGGAATAAAAATCGAACTCGACCTTTCAATTTATCAAAGTGATGATTCGCTGCGCGTACGCATCTGTTTAACTATGACACCGATTATGTAATTATAAGATGGCCGCCGTTGTTAACGTTCGACTTGAATGCTATTGCGGTAGCTAAATTGATGATTGATCAAGACCGAAGAAAATTGATAAAAGTTTTCCCATATTTAATTTAAAACCAGTAGTAAAATGAATTTTCAACTATATTATATACTATTTTTTGTTAGCGACTTTGTCCTTGTAATAGTCGACATCAGACTTTCTAGAGGATATGCTACTACAAAAACTAATGAAGTTTCATATAAATTTCCAACCCCCATTTTGCATCCTTAGGGGTGGAATTTTAAAAAAACATTTTTAGTAGGCATCAACGTCTCCCGCTTTTTTTTTGTTGACGGGGTGGAAAATCCCTTCGTATCTCGGGCTCCTCGGGGTCATAGGAGCCAGGAGTATGTGGCGTTTCCATTAAAAACTACCCCGACAGCCGGTCTCAGGCGTCCTAGTCTGGGGAGGACCCGGACCATGTTATTTTAGGTCCTCCCCGGATCGACGCCACGCCTAGCCAGGCCCTATCTATCGGTCCAATCAATATGTGTGGCGGCCAGCAAATTTTGCCAAATTTGCCACCAGAAGTCCCAACTCTCTGGCAGCCTGCCGCGGACAACGCTGCCGACGTCATCTTCGCTCAGGATCGGCCCTCTCCGTTCAGCGGTCTCTTTCTAGAGCATTACACCTTCACAGAAAGAGAGCACTGCGCCCCAGCCCTCCTCACCCGACACCAACGTCTCCTAAGGAACATTTGTGCAAATTTTTTTGTATTTGATGCTTCACATAGATTCGCGTCTGACGGCTGTGTGTAAGGTGCTTTTTTATAATACAGAAGGCTAATGAGCATTCCGGACACCAATTAACATAATTGCGTTCCAGCTCTTTGAGTTTCTCCCACTAGAATCAGTGGGAGGAGGGTTTGAGTTCTGGTAACCTCACTCACTGGATTTCTGTGAGGCCGTGTTATCACTCGAGCTGGTCTATTTGTGCCGAAGCATGGCTCTTCCACGTATCCAGTTGTTCTGGCACTTATTAAGTCGTTCTATCGCAGAATAAGCATAAGACCACACCGCATTGGCAGTGGGATATGTTTGTGTTTTCCGAAAAATGTTTGTAGTAACTTGCCTGACTTAACACCATTCTAAAAACTTCGTAGATGTTTCTAGAATTTCCTTTTTGTGGAATGTTCGATTTTTTTTTAGAACATTCGTCAGGTCTTCCGTTTGGCAGCACAGGACTGGTTGTTGTGGCAACTCTTGGCGGTCTATATCCAGTAGTACATCATCTACATCTTTTAGCTGAGATGATGATGCGTTTGGCCATGTCTCAATTTAAGCCTTTCTATCCAAAGTTGGTTGCGAAGATTGGCTTTGAAAGCAGCTCCAAAATTACAAGTATTAGGAAATAGATTTTATCGCATATTGTTATATGTTCTCGTATTCATTTCTTAATATTTCCCAACAAGTGACGTCACTTTATGGGCGTTTTAGAAGAAACCATTAAGAATAACAATTGTGTGAATTTCGCTAATTTAGTTAAATCTTTGTATCTTAGAAAAACTATTACGAGAATGTTAAATTATTATTTTTTTGAGTCCATAAAAATTGTATTCTTGTTTATAAAAGAATGCCTGATACCCGCAGAATCTCTTATTCTGCGGGTATCAGGCATTCTGAGAATATTTCCTATACACGAACCTACATCTAGTCTATGAAGGTGTCACCAAAGTCAAGAATTACTTTGAGAAGAAGCAACGGAAATAATCCTTTCCACACGCCTACTGCTGTAACTCCCATACACCAGGATCTACACCACTGACCCACGAACACGGCGAGTAATGGTAACATTCGGTAAGTCCCCGGAAAAGTTAAACTAAAGTTAAAAAGTAAAAACAGTCAAAGTAAAGTAAGTTACTAACGCTAAATCAATTAGAAGTAAATTAGACGAGATTTAAAAATAATAAATCCGATTCCCTCCTTATTAAAGCGGGAGACAAAAATGAAGTAAAAATAAGCGTAAACCCTTTAAACAGGGAAGCGTCACGGATACATTACGACTCCTAAGTGAGATATATTTCATTCCCATAATATGTATGGCAGAATCTCCCAAATACCGCTCCATATGTCACCTGTAAGCTTTACCATTATATTAACTTTATTGTACCTAAGACTACATTCCTAGAGGATATGGAAAAAGTAATCTATATCCTATCCGTGTGGTGACGGTTTACATAAGGGATCAAACTAAGCAGGATAACAACACTGCAAAGAGCAGGAAGACTTGAACTCTCTACTAACCACCACGCTGACCAGATTTGGTTAAAATGTCAACTTAAGAAGGACAGCTAGCTGTCAATCACTAACCCTGAGCCAAAATGAAAGTCAGACGAATCCACACCAAAATTGGTATAAAGGTGTATTATTATGATTGTCAAACAAATATCTTATATAATCACACCGTCTGTGTATTTAAAAAAAAAACAGTTTTGAAAGAAAAAATCAAATCAATCAAAATCAAAAAAGAAGAAAAAATCAGCCATCTTGAATAGTTTTTTCGTGTTTTGTCTCCCAAGGTAGGTACAGTACTTTAAATTATATTGTTTCGTGTACAGACACGCTGGTGCTCCATCTATAGAATCATTTATATGAGTTTGAAACTTTCATATTTAAAAATACCATTACATACTTGTATACGACCGTAACGGTACAATTTGACCCATCTGATGTCCAAACAACATCAAAAAAGGACCACATTTACTTTATTCGTATTTGGCGACGACAACTTTAAAAGTATCTGTTAAATTATTCAAGTTAAAGAAAAAAATCTTGGAATTCTGTCTCGTCCCCAAGGTCTTATGTATATTAAATATAGTCAGACGGTCAGCTATATGTGGATAGTAGTTCACCTTGCTTTGCAGTGAAGGAATTTCCATTTCTAGTGTTTATTCATGTAGGCAACATTGCTTTTAACCGCCTTTTAAAGAGTCGATTCTATAAATAAATAAAAAACAAAACAAATAGACATATAATTGGCAACGCGTTTGTGACTCCTGAGTTGCAGACGTTCATGGCACTTTCCATCAGGTGACCAGTCTGCTCGTCTGCCCCTCTAACATAAAAAAAACAAATGAATATTACTATTTTTTTACCGTTGGACATAGACCTCTCCTTAGAAAAGAGGTTTTCGCGTACTATGCCACACTGGCCAGACAAGTTGTCAAGTTTTCCTTCTGTTTACCGTGCTTCCTTTCCTTCTCATGGTATTGGAGGCCAATAAAAAGAAGGATTACCTAATGTGAAGCGACTATTGCTGCCCTCAGAATCCATGGAATTAGGCGGGATGGGTTGGGTTGCTACGATAACCTTAGTTACTTATATGTAACATGGCTCTCCCACGATGAATGGAATGGAAGAAGAGCCAGTGTGCTAACTTCAATTTTTTTTATGGTATAACAGGGCAAACGAGCAGATGGGTCACCTAATGGTAAGCAACTACCGCCGCCCATGGACACCTGCAACTCAAAAGTTACAAGTGAGTTGCTGCCCTCGGAGTCCCTCCTGCTCGAGTCAGCGGGGGATTTGGGCTCCGGTAACCTCACTCACTCAGGCAACGAAAGAATTGCTTAACACCGGTTTTCTGTGAGGCCGTGGTATCACTCCGGTCAACCCGGCCCATTCGTGGCGAAGCATGGCTCTCCCATGGTAAAAAGTTCAAACAATTTTGGGTAAAGGGTGATGGAGGATGGAGGAAGAAGGATGATGATATGCTTATAAGAGGTGCTTTCCAAAATATGAAGCCTTAACTTATATATAATAGGTATGTATTTAGAAATATTTAATTAAAAATATGTTCATTTAG